GTTTATTCATAATGTTTACAGTTTGTTGCAACAGCCATCTTCTTGGGAGAAAGCTTGAGTGTAAAGCCATTTGTAAAAGGCTTTGCCATACTCATTAAACATGTGCCTGTTGCTGTTAACTTTTGACGAATAAAAACTGGTTTTTTCTCTTTTTATCTTTGCATTTTACCTTACCACTCAATCCTTGGAAATCACTTGCTGAATTACTAGGTGGTCAGTCAGCTGTTGGTTTTTCCCTTCATTCGTGGGTATTTTGTAGTCTAAGCTGTGTACACACCCCACTCTCTGAGCTTATTCGAGCCTTACTTCTGCACCCTACAAATGTGACAAAGCCTGGTTTGGTTTGGTCCATCTTACCTGATGTGGGTGGTACTTGACTTCATATCATTTTGTTTCCACAGTTGGGAATTGCCTAAGAAATCACACCCTTGAAAGGGCTAAGAGTACCAGTTGTGTTTGTTTATTTTATTTTATTTTATTTATTTATTTATTTATTTATTTATTTATTTATTTATTTATTTTTGAGACAGCCTGGTAACAATGTAGACAGGCTCCCTTCAAACTCAGAGATCTCCCTGCTTCTGGCTACGGATTAAAGGTGTGTGCCACCATTCCCAGTGCCAGTCAAGAGTGGCCTTTCTATCTTCCCAGGCCAATTTCATTAGAAGAGATACAGTTCAAATTATAAGGTCAGACTAACATGTTTGCCCTTACTTTCTAAAAGAAAGTACAAGTGTTACAGAACCCACTTGAGTGATTTCCCAGTTATCTACAAAAGATGGGACTTCAGTAATTCTAACATCTCCAAAATATTTTAGTTTAGCATATAATAATTTTTAAAAATACTTTACCCCCTCCCTCTTTTTTTGAAGTGGGATGCTAAGTTTTTGAAATTCAGTGAATGTGTTAAACTTACAGCACATCTCAGTTTAGACTAGCCTCATTTGAGGTGTCCCATGCCCACATTTGGCTATCCTATTAGACAGCATAGGTACATGATAATAGTCATTACGTGAAGAAAGCCAACTGGCCACTCCTAAAGTGGTATTAGGTTGGCATATTTGACTTCTCCAGGGTCTGACAAAAATCCCTGCATGTTCATACCACCTTAAACAAGTTCATAGTAACTGATACCATAAAGAACAGTCTTGGTATTTAATCTGCAGTCATTCTCTCCCTTGAGGCAAATCTACCTGAGAAGCCAAATTAGGAGCAGCCGGTTTACTCAGTGAGCAAGGATTCTGAGCAAAGGATGCAAGTTTCCTCATGCATGCATCTCCCTGTGGGGACGGATTCCTGCTGATACCATAGCTTGATTGGCAACTCCATTAGATCTGTTACTTCCTTCAGCCCTTTTTCTGTTGCACTTGCCTAGGCAGGCTGCACTTTATCCTCTGCTTGTCCCTTTTTGCCCTGATTATGCTTGTCTTCAAGTTAATAACACAAAGGTTTAGCTTTCCTGTTTCAGCTTCTCAAAAAGATGCCTTGGTGGTACTCCCAAACCCATCAGAAGTTTGTTTTCTTACAGCTATGTGGGAATTACCTGTAGCCCTCCCCACTGCTTCTCTGACCTATTTTCCTTGACAGTTGGGTTTTTTTTTTTTTTTAGAAGAATTTGAGGAAACATTTACGTCACTTTTTTTTTTAAGTAAGCAAATACAGAGTTGTGCAAATCCATGGCATTTCAATATAAATTAGACACTTAAAGAATTTTTAAGGATGTAGCAGCCATTTGGGAATCTGGGCCCAGTGTTGAAAGGGTGGGTGAGTGAGTCGGATTTAGGGGTGACAAAAGGTTTTAACAAGTCCTACCTTAACAAATCTGGTTCCTCATTAACATTGCACTTTAAACATAATGGTTTGTAATGAGCCTCTGTATTTTTTTATATTATTATTTTGTTCTTTACAAACCTGGAAAAACTATCCTGTCCCTGCGGTGTAGCTTAGAGGTGCTGGTATCCCTTCACTGCCCTGAAAATGGTCTTTTCTATAATACTTGTTTGATGTTTATGTTTCCTATTTAAGACTTAAAAATTGTCACAAACATGTCTTAAAGGCAGTGATTGCCAATTGAGACCAGTAACTAATGTATTCATACTGCTTGTACGTAAATGTGCAAACAACTAGTTTGCACACCTTTAACGTGTATTTGCACCATAACCTAGTGTGAGGTTTGGTCTGCAGCCATTCCATATTAAGAACCTGCGTGGCATTGGGACACATGGTCTTCAGGAGGAATAGCCACCACTTTGGGGCAACACAGGGAAGAGCTCACAGCAACATACAAGATCTCTTAGTTTTTCAGTGTGTACTGTGCAGGATCGTTTTAAATTGAGCTGTCAGTAAACGATTACTGTGGAATTGCTATGTGCCCTTTAGCTATCGGATTGTCAATAAGAAATTTACTGGAAGTGATTTGCTAGTGCTGAAGTTGTATAGTAAATGTTTGGTTCCTGTTGTATGCAGAACATGGCACTGGGTGTTAATATTTTAGAGAGCATTAAAAGTCAGGGTCTGACTTTTAATTGTCTTGATGAAATAAAAATGTGTGGAAAGTGTTTGTAATTAGTTTTCAGAACTGTATAGGAAGGGTAATGCTGGGGTATTGTTTGAGAGACCAACTTAATGAACTAATACCATTCTTATCTCTTAACATCTAAGTCACTTACCATTCACATTTGATTATAATATACAACTTCAAGTATTCAAAATGATACTTGGAGTAAAAGACTAACTTTGTCAATTACATTTTAAACTTTTATGCCTATGTTTTTTAAGTTATCCTGGAATGCATATTTTGAATCTGGTAGGATGGAAGAGGAAAGAAAAACACCATTATTTTTCAATATTCAGCCTCTTGTTAGCTCTTAAAATTGAAACCTTCTGACTTAGTCATTGTGGCTTTCAGTAGTCTGTTACAAGAAATTCCATCTTGTACTTTAAACTGTGTGTGTGCATGCATGTAAAACAAATTTGAAGTATTTCTTCATTGTTTGGACATGTAAAAAATTTCAGGAAACTATAATGGCATCACAGTTCTTTTATCGAATCTAAAATTTATAAAAATTATAAAGTTTTGAAGGAAACATCAAAGTCTACCTGTCAGTTTACTTCAGGTGCTGTAGCACAGGACAGCTAACTGGCTGGAAAGGAGTCTGATGAGGTGCCAGGCTGGCGGGGTTCCAGAAGCTTCCTTCCCAGTTTGCAGATTTGCTGGCTTCTAGCTTACCCTCACATAGCCAATAAGAAAGGGTTAATTTTCTTACTTCTAGAACAACGCAAATCCCATCTTGGGTCTCTGTTAATTGGGCATAACTACCACCCAAAGGACCGACTCCTCTGGTTAGGGCCTGGTATAAGAAGGATATTACACAAATATGCATGTATTAATTCCATCTAAGAATTAGAAGGGGCTTAAGTTTTCTATTATAGTGGACACAGGTAACTGGGCTTTATACAGAGGATTTGTGTGTCACAGTGGATTCCAGGTTTACAAAGCTAAACTTCAGGAAGCATGGAATGAAATTCAGCCATCCTGTGAGCTTGCACTTGCTCTTGGTTTATTTTCTTCCCTCCAACTCAGCTTTTCCTTAGGAAGCAGGAGTGTTTGAGTTTTAGGTACTGTGTCCACACTATGGCAGATCTGAGTTCAAGTTCTTCAGCAGGGTATCCAGTTACTTGAGTGGCTTCCTGACCTCTAAAGTATTTGCTGAATAAAGCCAAATGGATAGTAAATTCTAAATAAGTATTTTTGCTGAGTTGTTTCCTCATGACACCCTTAACGTGCTAAGTACTGCATACTTCTGAGGTTTCCCATCCAGATTTCTGGAATATAAATGTGGTTAACATTCTGCTCTGTACATACTGGTTAAGGTCTGTGGCCAACGTCAGTATTTCAGAATGACTTCCCAGCTGTACTTGAGGTCTTTCTCTTGCCTTTAAGACACTGGTTTTTAAAATAAAATTCTTGATATGTGAACCTTTTACTGTTTTAAAAAAAAGCATCCGGTAAATAAACAGGGCAATAATGACAGGTATGTTTGGTAAAAACCTTATGAGGAAAAGTGGCCTTTGTCCTTAAATTGTGGCTTTTCATCATGAAGTAATCAAAGCTCACTTGCTTTGAGATAGAACGTGCTATATGGGCTATCCTACCCTTCCTCCTCCCCTTCCACCCAAAAAAATATTAAAGCTGTGCCCACGTTCTGCGCCACCTAACTTTTGTAAGGCAAAGTTTGAGAACTTCAGCTGAGGAACAACTCTTAGTGACAGCTTCCTTGGGAACAGTACAAGATACTGGGTTCTTACTTGACTGGTGGTTTTTGTTTTTGTTTTGTTTTTCTGTTACTCAAGAGCACCACTAAGACAGTGAAGCCCTGGCTTACCTTACAGGATTTCCGGGACTGTCCAGTAAGAACCCGGAAACAGGCCCAAAAGAGGAGCTCAGATGATGGAAAGAAAGAAAACACAGACATGGAGCCATAGTAATGGATGACATATCCCATGATAACCTCTTTTAGCCTTTTTGGCCAAGGTTAAATGTAGAAATGTTGGACTAGTCTGTCACAAAACTAAGTTTCCTTTTGCCTGGCAACCCTACAGCTGAGTAAGCTAGGTAAGCTACTAAAAGATGAAGCCCTGCTTTTTTGAGACGGGTCTCAGTGGCTCCAGAATAAGGTAACGTGGCCAAGATCACGTGGGTCTCCCAAGTCCACTCCTGTGACTCACACTTTCTGTCTCTATGAAACTGTCCCAACAGCACTACCAGATACAAAGTTCATCAGCTTTATGTTGGGTGGGAGGACTCCTGGAGGTTTTCCTGTGTTAAAACCAGTCTGAGAGGAAGAGGGAATGACACATAACATTCCAAAGACATATTCTATGACTGTATCTGCTAAAAGATGCATTACAAATTATCATGAGGCAGCATGTCAACACAAAGAATGTTAGCTATAAAGACAAAGACAGGAGGTAAATATACAAATAAGTAAGAGTCGAAAGAAATTTCAACAGCTTGCTTTATTTTAAAACAGAAACTTTCATATATTGGAATACTAACCAAATTCAATACTGATAAATTTCTTAGGTCAAAATATGTGGTCAAACGCCTTTTTTGAATCTCATAAAAAAGTTTTCAAACCATATAAAACATTTGGAAACAATATACATCAACAACACACCACGATTTAAACTAAACAAGCTATGAAAAATAGCTCAATCTTTGTGAAGATTTAGAATACATATTTTCAATAACTTAAAATATCTATCTACACTTCCCATCTCTTAAATTTTCCTGGGAAGAACCACTTGTCTCTAGATTTAAATAATACAGATATTTACTCATGGTAAGAGATTCTGACATTAAAATAGTTTAGTCTACCAGAAACACAACAATCATGAAAACTTACTAAGTACTTTAAATTATAACAAGTCCTTCCAAAACCCAGGAAATAAAGGCAGTCAGTTTTCTACTTTCAGTAACACCTAAGATTTATCTACATAATGCAATTCATTGGCTGAGCAATGATAAATAGCTTAAAAGAGATTTTTTTTTCACCTATACCGTAATGTTTTATTAAGAAAGATAGTTTGACCAATGTTTTAAAATTATAGATTCAATTATGCTGACATTGCCAGAAGTACTGTGCTGGCTAGTTGCACTTCAGCTTGACACAAGCAAAGAGTTATCTGAAAGGAAGTGAACCTCAATCGAGAAAGTGCCTCCCTAAGAGCTGGCTTTCAGGCTGGAGAAATGGCTCAGCCATTAAATGCTAGGCTCACAACCAAAAAATATAAGATCTGGCTGTAAGGCATTATTTGGTTGGTTGTTTTTCCAGACAGGGTTTCCCTGTATAGCCCTGGCTGACCTGGACTCACTTTATAGACCAGGCTGGCCTTGAACTCAGAAATCCACCTATCTCTGCCACCCTGAGTACTGGGATTAAAGGCATGTGCCACAAGCCAGGCTGTAAGGCACTTTCTTAACTAGCAGTTGATGAGGAGGGCTCAGCTGATTGTGGGTGGTACCATCCCTGGGCTAGAGGTCCTCGATTCTATAAGAAAGCAGGCTGTGCAATCCAGTAAGCAGCACCCCTCCATGGCCTCTGCATCAGCTCTTGCCTCCAGGATCCAGCCCTGCTTAGTTCCTGCACTCACTGCTTTTGATGATGATATGGAACTATGAGTGAAATAAACCTTTTTCTCCTCAAGTTGCTTTTGATCATGGTGTTTCATCATGACTACAGGAACTTTAAGACAACTGTTACAGTTTTTAGGTTTTGGTATTTGGTTTTTCTAGACAGGGTTTCTTTGTGTAGCCTTCGTTGTCCCGGACTCACTTTGTAGACCAAGTTGGCCACAAACTCCCATTGATCCACCTGCCTCTGCCTCTCTGAGTGCTGGGATTACAGGCAAGCGCCACCACACCCAGCAAAATTATTGATTTAGCAATAAAATCATCTTTTTGAGGACACTCATTAAACTTAAAACATTCTGCTCTTACTTAAATGATATAATTCAATCTGATTTGTTATTACTTGAGAAGTACATCTCCTTCCCAGTATTGGGTGGCAATGAGGTTTAAGCAGCCTTACTGGTCCTCACTTCCCTCTAAGAGAAATGAATACAGAGATTCAGCAGTAAACGTCTTCTGTTGCTTATGTAAACTCAGCTACAGAGAAAAAAAAGTGAGAACATATGTGAAGTCCTGTTGGAGGCATTCCTATCTCATACTGTCCTCTACTAACGGCATGCATGGTGTTCCATCGCTGAGCAGGAAACCCTTAGGGATGCCATTCATTATAAGTTTTCCGTAATGTTTTATATCCAAATATGTATATATAAGATGTTTGCACAGACATTAGTGTTAACTGGAAATGCATAACAATATCCAAATAGCCTGTCTGTGTTCCAGGCTGGAAGATGAACCCTGGCTACCTAGTAAAAGCATGTCATCATACATGTGTGTTCTGGAGAGCCAACCAACTTCTGGTGCTTCCACTACTTCTCGCTCCTCTAATTCCCCTAAGAAGGAGGCCAATGAATACTACAGCCAGGAATTTACTAAATACTCTATTAGCCAAACTCAGCTCTGCAGCCAACAGGTGAACCAGGAGTCTCTGAACTCATTGTCCATTAGCAGTCTGGAACGTTTTCAATTAAAGCCTTCATTTTCCCTGTAGACTTCAATATATGTGGGCCAAACTGGAAAAGAAAAGAAAAAACACAAAGCACGGACCATGTCAGCAGGTATGTTCACACAAACAGCAGGCAGAAAGGACTCCGGGAGATGTGGCCTATGACCTTCCAAGGCCATGTCAGATCTCACCAGGAAAACTCACAGGATACCCCAGAGAGAAAATGATCCTGCCTTATTTTGTGTAAACCTTTTAAAATTTGAATTTAAACACAATACACTGTCATAATGAAAGTTTTATTAGACTGAATTTCACTTCATTATACTTAAATACAAATAAAACCCTGCAGGAAAAATTTACCATTGGGAACCTCTATGCTGAAACCCAAGGTTAAAGACTCTGCTTTTTTTCACTTTGGCTTCTCAGTAGGTTTTGGGTTTCCAAACAAACAACAAACCTTTACAGTGGAAAAAAATAGATGCCACCCATGATGGCACAGTGGCACAAGTACTGCAATGGCAGCACTAGAGGTGGAGGCAGTGAAGCTCAGGATTCACTCCAGCCTTGCTACATACTTAAGCTAAATAAGTTCAGTCTGGATTTTGTGAGACCCTATCCCCAACAAACAAAAGAGCTGTCCTTTCCTACCCAGAGAGATGCCATCTCCATATAGGTACCGAGCAGGTCCCACTGCACCCTGTAAGGGACATAGCTTGGAAGACTTAAATAGGAATCTCCACCTAATGTGCTAATACTCACCAGGACCGGCTCTGCGGTGGTCTTTGACTCTGGCTTTGGACCTCTTTCAACCTCATCATACCGATAAGCAAACTTCTTTTTCAGAGCCTCTGCTATGATGGTAGCAGGGTCAGTACTATCCACTGGCCTAGACTTTACATCTTTCTCTGACCTTTAAGAGAGGAACAGAAACCAAAGGTTATTATGCAGATGTCCTTCCCAGAGGTTCTCTGTGGACAAGTTACTCAGTGACCTAGCGACTGTTAGTAGCAGGAGGGAGACCTGGACTTTAGAGTTCAACATGAGAGTACACAGTCAGATAAAGGGCCACTTAAGGAAAGTCAGGGCTGCATCTTCCAGAAGTGCCCAGTCCCTCCAGGAGAGGGTTCACAGCATGCTTTCAACTGACCGAGTGAACACTCACAACATTTCACATGGGGCTACTAAGACGGCTCAACAAGTAAAGGTGTGGCCAAGCCTGGTGGCCTTTAATCCCAGCACTCTGGAGGCAGAAGCAGGTGGATCTCTGTGTTCAAGGCCAACCTGGTATACAAAGCAAGTCCAAGACAGCTAGGGCTCTGCGACATAGAGAAACCCTGTCTTGAAAAACAAACAAAAAACAAGTAAAGGTGCCCACCACTAAGACCAATGACCTGCATTCAATTCCCAGGACTCATATCGAAGGTATAAACCAACTCCCACACATTGTCCTTTGACTTCCCCACACACATATGGAACCTTTTCTTAACATTGGTACCCCTTTTTTAAAGAAAAGAGTTTACAGTCTGGCGGTGGTGGCACATCCCTTTAATCCCGGGACTCAGGAGGCAGAGGCTGGTGGATCTGCCTCTCTGAGTTTGAAGCCAGCCTGCTCCAAGACAGGCAGGACTACACAGAGAAACCCTGTCTGGAGAAAAGAAAAAAAAGGGGGGGGGGGTTCACAAGAAGATCCTACTTGGTGGGATTGGGAAACTTGCCTAGAACAGCCTGCCCTTGGCTGTTGAGTATGGATAAGCTGCTGAAGCTGCAGATCTTTCTTGAAGGGAAAATGGTTTAGCACTAAGGTTATAAACATTTGAGACTCCTAGTACTCTGGCTCTATAAGATATAGGGAAGCTTAGTACTCTGGCTCTGTAAGATACAGAGAAGCAAGAACAGAGCTGAGCACCTCACCTCTTGACAGACCGTAGCTTCACACTGCTCATGTCTTTAAGGATCTCTAGCATATTTGGCATGTCAGGCTTCTTTGGGTTACTCTTAGCCAGCGTCTTTCCATTTCCAGCACTGAGTCTTTGCTCTCTTCGCTCTTTAATCAGATCAAGAGCTGACATACTTTGGTGGATCAGAGGGGGAGGGGGAGGGGGAGGAGGAGGAGGGGGTGGTACTACTGTAACAGATGTGGAAGAATCTAAGCAACCTGCAGAAGAAACAAAGAAACATAAGCATAATCTTTCTGTAAATAAGCAAGATCACTTTCTAAAAACAAAAGTAGGTGATAGGCTTCTGTATTCCTAAAAGCAGTATCTTTAAAAAGAATATCGGCTCTATAAGGAAAATGCAGTTCAGTTACTCTTAAGAAATGTCTGAAGCTGAATCAAAGCCACACAATGGAAAAGTCCCATTCAAATGAATAAAGGTATTTTTGAGATTTTAGACACCCCTGTTTCTGGTAGGCAGCCTAATCACTCCTAGAAAAATAAAAAGCAGTCTATACTCGTAAACATCTATAAGTCCTATCACAAAGACATATCATACAAGCTGTGTATTTTTATACATGCCTATAATCCTATAAAGTTTATAATCCTTTAAACCCTATAAAGCACTTGGGAGACCAAAGCAAGAGGATCACACCAAGTTCAAGGCCAACCTGGTCTACATAATGAATTCCAGGTCAGTCAGCAATACAGAGAAAAATCTTGTCTCGCAAGCCAGTGGACATTTAATTTTCAAACAAAAGAGTAAGTGTTAAAGAAATAAAATATCTAAACTTCACTTTTCTTTTCTTATTTTTTATTTATTTATTTATTTATTGCCTAGCTCAAAGTTACTTTCTCTGCTGCAGAACTATACTGATGATGGCTTGTGGCAACAGTTATGTGGCGAGAGTTTTACTGAAAGTATTCAGACTAGAACAAACATCTCAACAAACTCCAAAGTTATCTCCTATTTATGGTAGTTTTCCTAGTTTACCAGCAGAGGGCGGTAAAGAAAGCGGTTCCAAGTTAACAGAAAAGCCAAAACTTGACATGCAAAGCAAGCATCTATGCAGATCCCTGGGACCACCCCTCACCTTCTAGTGCCCAGTGCCCAAAGCACCTTTACCCGTCACGCATGAGCAATACGATTCAGACATTGGGCAGTTAAGGGTCTTGCTAGGACTGTGAAAGAACAGGAAAAACAACCACTCTC